TGTATCAACCATCATTGCAAGTATGGGAAATATGTGATTGACTTTGGGTTGACAGTTGCAGTGTCCTCTTGATGAATGATAGTGTTGTCTTGAGGTATGATTTGTGTTATGTCTTACCTTTAACCACCAGAGTCATTGTTTTTTCTTTTCTCACTGTTCACTGAAAAGTAATTTCCCAAAAACATTTGTGAATATCTGTGCAAAAATAATTAGCCAATACCATAATATAGTGTCAAATATTACATTAATCATATGAGTGCATTGAGCAAAATTAAAGCGAGGGAGTCGTCACATGCGCACGCGTTAGATGACCATAGCATGTCATTGTTTAGAAACAAGCATCTACCCATGAGCCTTTGTGTTTTTAGCGTGTGTTATCATTACTTGGGACTCAATTCCTGCGTGTGCAGGTAACTACCCTCCTGCTTTAATAGAATTTCTAACGCAAATGACAAGGTGTTAACTAGAATTCCATGTTGTTATATATATGTCTAATCAGACAATTATTTGAAAACAATTAATGACATGCAAATCTATCTGTTTACTTGTATTACTTGAAACTCAATACTAATACCTGGAGAGATACAATTGCTGTATTACAATGTACAGTCAAACCTGTCTTAGCGGTCACCCTCAGAGAACGGTCACCTCTACGGAGCGGTCACCCTGCAGCAGTCCCGTGCAATTTGCCATGTAATTGACACTGCATAGAACGGCCACCTCCACAACGCGGCCAGCGGTCACCAAATATCTAGGTAACCGGCGGCCACTACTGTGTATAACGGCCAGTGTTTTGGTCCAAAGCAGTAAAAATGGGGAAGAGACGATAAAAATGCGTTAAATCAAGACGGTCTCTCGATTACTAGTATACAATGAACAGTTGCACTGACCGGCGACCGCCGTCAATCATGCAGTTCATTTCACACGTAGGGTACTTACACTAGCAGGGAACAGACTGTTTATTTCCTCTGACATGCCAGTTTGTTTCAATTGAGTAGCCCATTTGTAATTAGGTGTTTTAACACCTGAAAACAAAACCTGAACAGTGACGGGAATTATAAAAACAATGACCACGCTTTTACTGTTGACTGGCATTGTTCACGTGATAAATATGCTAATTTGGATTGTAAGTACGAACAAAACATCAATGTTTACATTAACATAACGATGTCTAGAGTGTAAAAAAAATTTAAAAATTACGTTGAATCAAGAATATGGCGAAAATTTTTAGGAAGGCACTGACGTTTACAGAGAAGGTTGAAGGTTGAAAGAAATGGCCGTAAAGAGGTATGCCTAAGGTACGACAGGGTCACGACCATACCAACGCTACTACGGCAGTGCTAAACAAGGCCGGGCAGTCTGTTTTATTTCCGTTGAGATGTCTACCACATGGGGGATTAGTTATTATTGGATGTTTAACACCTGAAAACAAAGCCTGACTTGTGACAGCGATCGCAAAGTTTTACGTTTGAAAGACATTGTTCACGTGATCATATGCTAATTTGGCTCACACGTAAGAACAAAACATGTGAACAAAGCGATATCTTCAAACTTCAATCACTTTATTATTTACTCTTTGGCTTACAACATCTACGTATAACATTGAATCAAGAATATGGCAAAAATTATTAGAAAGACGCTGACGTTAACTCAGAAGGTGGAAATGATAAACCGTTTCGAAGCAAGTGGTGGTTCCTTGGGATCGCGTAAATTGGCTGTCGAATACGGTGTTGGTCGCACCCAGATACAGAGAATGTGCTGAAAAGGAAGGCCGAAATTCTTGATGAATACGAAAATAATGCACCCGTGGATCGTAAACGAAAGGTTCGAAAGACCGGCAATGAAGAAATAAATCGTCTGACTTGGGAATGGTTCAAGGATGCCATGGCAAGAAAAATTCCAGTCAGCGGGCCTTTGATGCAAGAACGCGCTCTTTCCTTCGCAAGCGATCTCGGAGTTGACGACTTCAAAGCATCGAATGGCTGGTTGGACAGTTTTCGAAAGCGTCACAACGTTGTATTTAGTATCATGACTGGCGAAAGCGGTGACGTGAATAATGAAATTGTCGAAAAATGGAAAGATAAATTACCATCACTGCTAGATGGCTATGAACCCAGAGACACATTTATAACATGGATGAAACTGGACTTTTCTACCGGGCGACTATGAATAAAACTTTATTTGTGAAAGGCGAACAGTGTCGTGGTGGAAAGAAATCTAAAGAGAGACTGACAGTTATGTTATGTGCAAACATGGTAGGCGATAAAGAGAAGCCATTAGTTATCGGAAAATCCACCAAGCCACGCTGCTTTAAAAACATCAATCTAAAGAATTTACCTGTTGATTATTACGCTAATAAAAAGGCATGGATGAACTCGAAAATATTTGAGGACTGGCTTCGCAAATTTGATCGCAAGATGAGACGCCAAGGAAGAAAAATATTGCTCTTTGCCGATAATGCGCCATCACACCCAACGATCAACCTCAAGAACATTAAACTTCAATTTTTACCAGCCAACACTACGTCTAAATCACAACCGATTGATCAGGGGATTATTCAAACCACTAAGCTGAAATACAGAAAACGTCAGCTCCGTCACATCGTACGAAGAATGGACGAAGACAAGGCAAAGTATGGCAGTGAATTTTTGAAAGAAATTAACGTCCTGGATACAATCATGTGGATCAGCCAGTCGTGGAAAGAAGTTGAAGTCTCAACTATAGAAAAGTGCTTCAGTGCCTGTGGTTTCACCAGCAATGCAGAAATTACTGGTAAGTTATTTTTTCTTTTTATATTTTAATGTTTTTTTTTTTGTGTGTTGTTTTTTAAATTCCTGGACATTGTTCACTATGTTGGTTTATAAACTCAGGAGACAATAAGAAACAATGGTGATTTTTCAATAGAAATTGACTTGTGTTGTGTAATGCTATTTTGCATAAATTAAACAATAGAGTTTACCTGAAACAATAGAATATTTGCCTCACTTTTCCTGGACACAGGGAACTGATCAAATGTTTTCCAGAATCATTAACATGTTTAACCTCCATGGTAGAATGGAACACAGTTTCATATCCAACATGACTGGTGCTATGAATATTTTTCCCCACTTGGCAGGTTTGTTTCATATTTCATTAATTCCCCCTAAATGTCGCCATTACATTTGTTTAATCTTTAATTTGAATTTTCTCTCTGCAGATGAATCCAGTAATGATGATAACACAGAGATAGCACAGTTGGATGAATTGTCCCATGAGTTGTTTGGATGCAGTTTAGATGAGATTGTCAATATAGAAAGAGACCTAGCAACATGCAACACAGACAATGTTAACTGGGAGCAATCAGCAGTTGATATTTTGAGCCAGATGGAAGAAGATGATACAGGTGCAGAAGATAGTGATGATGAGAACACCCCACCACCACCACCAAACCCAGAGAAACCATCCATCAATGATTACAGCCAGGCAGTCCAGTCAGTCTCTAACTTGAAAGATTTCATGTTGAGACAAGGATTGGATGACATGCTACTTGCTATAGCAGACATTGAAGATATTTTGGGCAAAAAATATGTGGAGAAAATATCATCTGCAAAACAAACTTCAGTTTTGGATTTTTTTGAACCTGCCAATGACAATGGACAATAAATGTACTTTATTACCTGTACGTGTATAGTGAGCCATTCAACTACAAATACATTTGTATTTTATTTACAAATATTTCATTTTGATCCTATTATTTATTTGGTTATCATTCTTTATTAATTTCTTCATTCATTAATGACATGTGTATGTAAATATATTATCCCAAGACTTAACACATTTATGTCAATAAAACAGTTTAAATTGTACAACTTTTTGTCTCTTGACACAGAATGCCCCGCCCACTTTGAAAAAAAAGTAAAATATATCCAACCTCTACAGAAAGGCCACCTTTATATAGTGGTCACTTTAGCCTGGTCCCTTGGGTGACCACTATACACAGGTTTGACTGTACAATTATTTACAATGTTTCATAGTCCAAAAAATAAAATTACCAATCAGTTATAGCACAATAGAAAAATAGATTGATTTGTGAATAAAGTAAATTTGATTTAAAACTATAAACATAATGTAATTATAGTGACAATTATTGTAAAACTATCAGCCATAATAATTGTAAATGTATTGACAGTCATAACACTTTTTGTTAAATCAAATATAGCAATAGATAAGCCATTGTATCAACTCTATTAATTTGAATGTCTGTTTTCTTTCTAGTTTCAGCTAAGCTGAAATGCCGTGAAGTGATTGTCACAGGACCACGTGGTACTCTTAGAAAAAATTTCAACCACCTCAATATTGAACTGACGATGTTAGGCAAGAAGAAAGTTCAAGTACAGAAATGGTTCGGTAACCGCAAAGAGCTGGCATGTGTGCGTACAGTGTGCAGCCACATTGAGAACATGAT